CCTAACAAAACGTTTCGTCACCCACAGTTTATATTCAAAATCCTAATGCCCTCCAAATGTTTTGAGCAATGTAACAGTAGCTCCGCTAAAATCTTAAAGACTGGCTCCCGTGTTCTCATGCAAGTGAAAACTTACTCGTCAGCCATTAGTATAGTGTTTGAATGTAGCACAAGTTAAATCAAGAGTTTCAGGTCTTACCAGCTAAAATGTTCTTTCTTTACTTATATTCTTGGTCGTTATATAAACTCACTCAGTTCGTATTTTGTAACTGAATTGACGAAACAACAGAATTACAGGAACTATTACACTTAGGGAATAACGTATTAATTAAAATAAACCTTACAAATTAAGAGTAAATACATAAGTGTAAGAAAGCATGCAAGTAGCTAATATTTATTCAGTACGCTCATGCACGTTTGACTGTTATTGGTCAATATTCTATGGAATCTATTTATATTTATCGGACTGAAAGATTAGAAACATAAAATGCTTGGCCGGTAAGTGTAAAATCATACGTTATTTAAGATACGCGATAGACAAAAGGTATAAATGATATCAGCAACTGAAACTATATTATTGCTGATATACATAACAAAAGCAAGAGAAACTGATGGTCGTAATTAAAGTACCTTATTCGAAACTGTGTAGTTCTTGCTATTGAGCGAAATTTAGTTAAAATTTGCTCATGTGACATTCAGAAAGTGGGGAGAATTCAGAAAGTGCTTGAAAGCGAAATTTGTCTTAAACACATCCGCTAGCGAGATTCGCTGTAAAACAGGGAATCAATGAAAAAATACATAAAAGTATATATACATGTGTAGTGTTCTGCAAACGTGATATACAGACAAATTAGCAGCGTAAAGAATAGTGTTTATAGCGTTCCTGATGTGAAGAGTGAAATCTGAAAGGGATGTGCTGTGTGATCAACAATTGGCCTCGATTTATTTCTTTATGATGCATTTCAAACTTATAGAATACTCACCTTAGTGTGTATCAACTTTGTAACATACCTTTTATAAACCACACATACTTGAAAAGAGGTATTGAAACTAAACGTTTTTGGATTAAAATTATTTTGAATATGGTGGCAATACATCAGGAAATGCTCAACTAATAAATCGTCCATATAAAATTACTAAATACAGTATCTTAAAAGTAAACAGAGCTCCATTTTGCTTAACGGTGATTAATAGGCATGTTAGAATGATACTAAGATTGACGTTTCTAATAAACAATGAAATGAGGATAAAACTTATTTTAAGCGAAAGCTGTGGAAACTGTCGGAAAATACGTGGATTTTCCATGGTCCAAATGCAATGCATCCTCTTCCATTGCAGCAAGAGAAATCAACGAAAATGTTAATCAGCTTTGTTCTTTGCACCAAGAAACTGCTGGCTGTTTTTAATCTTATTTGGATAATAAAGAATTAAATTCCTCAATGACATCTGCTTTGTAATTTAAAATCTCTCATCCTCCGCGATACCGTTCTTTTGTTACTCAAGCTTATAACATCAATCATTGCTTGGTCAGAAACATCTGCAATACTTTCATCGGCAAGTGAAGTGATATGTATGCGGCTTCAATCGACTTAAACATCTAGCTGGTTAACTCCTTGAATTAATGAATTTATCGAATTATCAGTTCGGTAATTGTTAAAAAAATGTGGTCCTTAGAATAATTTTTTTTTCGGAGAAATGCAGTCACAGCATCGCTTTTATATTCGAGAGATAAATTCACAATTAACGCACAAGGATGGCCAGCATTAACTGAAAAGAATGACATTTAGCAATTAAGATTATTTTTAAATGCAGAATTTGGTTGCGACAAAAGAGCAAATGAAACAATGCTTTGTTTGCTTGGGAGACAACAGTGCCAGTGTTGTTTAAATTTCGCTCTTTTGAAGTAATAGAAAAGAAAAAAATCCCTAGCATTTCATTTCATGTTTGTTTTAGATATTTACAATGCTTTCGGTGTACTTCCTGCTTTAAAATGCGACACTTCTCCCTATAATAGTTGATAGTACAGATGTAATTTCCCAGAGATTCTTTTTTCTCTTTTTCTGAATACTGTGCCAAATGTAATCCCATTCCACTAATTAGTTAGAGACATAGAGGACTTAATACAGGGAAATTTAAGGTCCATAATTAGGTACACAGGTATGATAATCGTCAAATGATCATGATGAAATATGCTGAAAAACAAGGATCTTTACAATATGTACAAAGGCATTGTAGATGTGATATTAAATACACTGCTGTAAGAAATTAAGAGAATTTTCATATTTGATCTACGATCTCCAGAACTACTGGACAGATTTTAATAAAATTTGGTGTAACATAGATTGATATAATACAAACAAAATAAACATTCAACAGTTGTTATAATATACACACATGTTCGTGTGTAACACTCATGGGAGTCTGAAGGTCTGAAACAGCGGTTGCAGAAGACACAAAAGAAATGGGTTAATAGGGGGTATGGTCCCTCTTACAGCCATACAGGCCTCGCAGCGTGATGTCATACTGGAAATAAGGCATTTTATCAGTGCCTGCGGCAATTGGTCCTAGCAACGCTGTTTTCAGTTCCTGGATGGTTCTCGGAGGGTGTTGCGAATTGCAATTGCCCTCCCAAGAGCGTCCCAGACATGCTCTATAGGGTTGAGGTCTGGAGACCTGGCTGGCCAATTCATTCGGCGAATATCCTCACTCTTGAGAAATTCGTCGACCAGAAGAGCTCTATGTGGCCTCGCGTTATCGTCCTGTAAGACGAACTCGGGGCCCACTGCACCCCGGAAAAGGCGAACATTGGGCTCCAAGACCTCATCCCTATACCTCACACTAGTCACAGAGCCTCTGTCAAAGAAGAGGACAGGTGTCCGGCCATCCAGCATTATGCCTGTCCAGACCATTACACCGTCAAAGGCCGTAATTGTTGATTTCGCGGCCATTGGAGGGTATATAGCGGGTCCCTGGCTCTCTTCATATGAAAAAACGGTGAGAATCGGTGTTTAGGTTAAAACGGGACTCGTCGAAAAACAAAACGGTCGCCCATTTCTCTGTACTCCAATTACTATGCTGCCTGCACCATACTAATCGGACTCCTCTGTCCGTAGACGTGAGCGGAACGCAAACAAACCATTCTCATTCAGTCTTTTGGAAACAGTCACCCTTGTTACGCGGGTTCCTGTGGCTGCATACAGGTCCCGAGAGAGCTGAGAATCTGTAGCCCCTCTGTTACGCCTCGCTAAAATGGACAAATAGCGATCTTCTTTGGCCGTCGTGGCTCTTGGACGACCTTGCCCAGGCTTTCTCTCAATCGATCCAGTATCCTGGAAACGTTTCCATAGGTTACACACGACGCTGAGCGTTAAATTAAACTCTCTGCACATCTGGACGTGCGATTGCCTTATCTTTAGCCTCCCCACAATTCGCCACCTCATTCCATCATCTAAACGTTGGTGGTTACTCCTTTTTATTGTTCCGACGTGAATTAATTCGATTACTGCAAGATAACACCAAGCAATTCCCCGAGGTGTGCTAGCGAACGAATTCGTCTTACCCTCTACGCGCTTATAAAGCCTGTTTTTCTGCTGGCTCCGCCTACATACACGTGTACGCTTACGCATTTGCCGTATAAGATTTGCATTTTTATCTAGAAGCAGTGTTTTTCCTTCAGCTCACTTCTTTTCATGCAATTCGATAAAATATGCAAATTCTCTTAATTTATTTCACCAGTGTATGTTGAATGATTCTATAATGGGAGACTGCAAAACTTTGATTTCTCGTTAAGAATCTATGACACTAATCGTTCTTCTCTTTTAAAGACGTAAGATTTTAATGCAACTCAAGCGTTTTCAGTCTCATGCTTTAAACTTGAAACTGGGCATGTACGCGAAATAGTTGCTTAAAGAACGTAAGGTCTTCAGATAACAGAAATTTCCCAAACAAAATGTTTGATTTTTGGGAATCAATTCTGCATTCAAGAGTGACATCGAAATTTACAAAACTTCAACACTTTTAAACTCAAAATCTGTATTTCCAAATGTTGGTTGGCTAGCACGAAAGTGTGAGGGGAAAGAAGATCAACATGGTGAACTTAAGAAACTAAGTGATTGATAATGATATTTTGATAATGGATTCTTTGCAATTTTGCAGTGAATTTAATTACGTGTTAGTATATTCTGAAGATGCGATCTAAGAACGTTAAAATTTAAATTTAGCAAATAGTAAGATATAAGTATTGTTAAAATCTATTAAATATTATCTATTATTAAAATCGCAGTAAATTTTATTGATTTATTTAAGACTTAGTTTAGTATCAAGTAAAATGGATTGAGGCGAAAATTTGATAGCGCAGCAAAGCTAAATAATAAACAAGGTATTTTAAAACAATCGTTTTATTTTTTCCTTTGGTACTTATTCCATCATGTCGATCTTATTTCAAGACGAACAATTAAAATATTTAACTATTACAAAAGCATGAATATACAGAATTTTACTTAAAATTTGTAAGCGTACTATAAGAGGAAATATTTGATACATAGTTAGCAATATCTGACTTTTTAGCAACTGGCTATTATCTATCCTTTTGCAACTGTTCTGCTTATATATCGTGTCTAATCACATTTTTTTATCATTATGTTGGGAGCAATTCAAGTTAGAGTCAAATCACAGCAGAAGTTCTCTTTTGGAAAGTCTTTTTCCAAAGAAAGCAAATTTGCTATGTAAAGTTAATCTAAATCCTATGTTCACTCTCATAATTTCTAGATGGAAATTTAAATATGAAAGGGTCAATTTAAATGGAAAAGACAGAACTGTTATTGAATGCGCATAAATATAAATGGAATTCGTTTGTTTGAATGAAGTGATGTTAAATCGCACATTGTCTGTGTTTGATTATCTGTGTTTAAGATGGTATCTAGTTTCACCATAATTTGTAAATAAGTTTAAGAAGACTATCTAAAATTTTAATGTTTTATTCTAATCCTATTTCTATTTTAGGTGAAAGCATTGCCTCAAACTGCAATACTGCTGGGCAAAATTACGAAGATTTTGAGTGTGAGCATAAATCTGTTTCCACTCAAACTGTTTGCGTGTATATCGATCAAATAGCGGGAAATTCTGAATACTGTCATGAAAAATGTGATATTGGAGTACAAGCGGAAAATGTGTTAGAAGCGTTTAGTAGTAAAACATCAGAGATGTTTGAGACGTTTCAAGAAATAAGTCGAGAAATTTATGTTGTTCCAGAGGTATCTGAAGAGAGTGATTCTTGTTTAACAGGGTGCGATGAAGGGAGCAGTTTAAATGACTCCACAGATAGGCTCAATGTTCCTGATAATTTTAATGAATATGAAGTGAGCTTCCCATGTGAAACGGATTCCGTTGATCTATCAGATGACACGTTGCTTAAAGACAGCAAAAGTGAAATTTTTATTGAATACTCTGAAAGTGAAATAGCGGATATTGATAGTCAGAGTGTAAATGCACTTTATGAAAGTCAATGCGAAATTGCCGTTGACGATAGTATGAGCGAAACTGCACCTTATGAGTATAAATGTGAAATTGCTGCTTTTGGTAGTAACAGTGAATCGCCCATTGATGATAGCAGATGTGAAACTCTGCTAGAAGTCGATATAGATAGAACATCATCATGCAACAGTAACAGTAAATCAACTGAAGGAATTGAAATATCAGCAGATGTGCATTTACCTGCCAGCTTTTCAGAACTACTATCTAAACACAATTTTGGCCATTTTGTGGTGCCATTTAATATTTCCAAAAAGACTTCAAAATTTTTTAACATATCTGATATTTTATTTACTTATAGTGATAGTAAATCTTGTAGAACGTTGCCAGGACAAACCTGTCGTGAAGTATATAGTTTAAGGGATGCTGGTATGAATCCTTACACATTTTTCACTCAAGATATATCATACATATTTAATAGTATATTTTATAATATGCTCAAAGACAATGTAAAATCTGTTGAAATTTGTGATGAAAAAAATAACTGGAGCTGTATTTTCCTGAACTCTAAAAATTTTCCATTATCATTAACTGCTTCTGACAAATCAGCAAAATGTTTACCTTACCATTGTACAGATACTCTTGATGATGAGCAAAATGATTTTTTGTTAAGTGAGAGGCGCGATGTAGAGGGCGTTGGTAATTTTGAGCCTGTTGATGAAGTCATTCCTCCAGCTGTCAGCGCAAAATCATCCATTTTATACTCAATGCCAAACGTAGGGAATGATTATTACGAAGCGGCTGAAGATGACTTCGTAAAGGCTTTTTCAGAGGATATTTCCTGCCCAAAGGACAAGGATGAAGACAGCATCGATTCCCAACAGTCTGTGGAAAATAATGGAGATGAAAACATCCCAGTTTCAATAAGCAGCAGTGAAACTTCATATAATTTGCAACGCAACGGTACATTTGTACGGGAAAATTATGCACCAGCACGTCGTCAGGGTACGTTCATAGTAGAATCAGCCCATGAAAATCAGATAAATGAAGCTAAAGTTTGTGACTTAAATTTATGTTATTCTGCAGTGGTCAGTGCTTTCGTTTTCAATGAACCTCAAGATATGGAGAAAAAATATGTTTTGTATGAAACATGTAACTTTCCAGACACTTCGTCTGTGAGTGATCTTCAGATATCAAGCCCAATACCAGAATCAAATGCTGAAAGAAAAGTTTTAATTGGCCAACATTTTGTGCTTTGCGAAGAAGCAGTTAATGTAGATCACGTTCGGTCAGTTGCTCCAGAAATATCTTACCATCTGCTACTTCTGAAAGCAAAATCTGATATTGATAAACAGCCTACTATTGAACACACAGCTGAAAGTAGCTCGTTAATTTACCCACTCTTGCCACAATACTTACCGTCAGATAATTACAACTTAGACAATTTTGAATGCTTTTCTCCCGCACATAGCTGTGAAATTTATTTGCCTAATTCTAACTTTACACAAGGGCAGAATGATTCAGAAAACCCCCTATTCATCCCCAAAATGTACATAAAATTTAAAACTTTATTTTCTTCTGAAGCTAATAATTTTGGTTCGCAAGAAAATATGCTGAGTGAAAGAATGTTAAGAAATAATTCAACAGTACCAGCTTCATTAGCTTTCAATACAAATAACAGTTTAAACGATCATCGTACAACTAATAATTGCGAAGAATTTACAAGAGATGTTTTAAATTCAAGGGAATTTAGTGATATTTTTCCTGAAAGAAAAAGCGTCGAAATTCAAACAGATAATATAATTGATTTCTTATTAAATCAAGGGAAGGAAACTGAGATTCAAACAGAGGAAGCATATGAGTCAACAACACAAGAAATGGATCATAGATTTCAAACGGATGAGACATTCGACAACTTAGACGCGCAAGAAAAAGGATGTGGTCTTCAAGCAGATGATACATTTGACACATCAGCAACCCAAGAGAAAGATTCTGGGCTTCAAACGGTAAGCTTTGTTTTGTTTAATGCATTTAAGGAAATGAAATGCGAACTGACATTTGTGGAGTCATTAGATTATGAAAATGTACAATGACCTAGCCGGGACTCGAACCCTAGACCTGTCAAATACACATCGAGTATGCTTTCAATTGCACCACGAACGCATGCGTAAAGGAAGGAAAAAATCCCTTGTATATACACGTTGCTCACATTTGAAGAAATGTCTTGCGAATTCACATCTAGGCAAGCTAAGTATCCATAATTTTATTAGGTAGTGGAGAAATCATACATCATTCACAGATTGTAATTCTTTCCTTCTGCATGCAAGCGTTTCAATAAATTTTACATGGTAAAAATAAATAAAAATAACAAATTCTTGCATTAATAAAAAGGCAAGAAGGGTTTAAAATGAAAGGTTAATTTCTGAGTAATTTGGTACTTAATAAGGCACTTTACATGACTAATACTCTAAACCCTGGAATATCCATGAAAATTAATATACCAGTATGTAACGGATAATAGAAATTCATGGATAGTTTGAATATATAGTCTGGATAGTCCAACAGAAACTGTAAAAAGTGCATACCATATAAAGTGAGCTCTTCAGAGGATTTAAAGAAACGACTTGTGATATATCTTTTAAAATTAAGTTTAATTAGGTTATAATTATTTAATTATATACTATTTAATTAGGTTAAAATAAATAAATTTATATAGAAATTTGTTTTTTCTCCTGAAAAAGTTAGTCACATTACGCTTTTACGAGCCACGCTGACTTCTTTTCAGATCAAAATCATGAGTATACATTTAGTTGTCTCGGTTTTCGACTCAATGGGTTTTGTGCCAAGATCAGTCATAGGTGGAATACCAGTAAAAATAACTTCTTCCTTATGATTGATCACAGCTCTTACTAGGAGACAGAGCCATTAGACAGCGCGCTTAATTAGCAGAGTTAAGCTTGTATCTCCCATTGTAAACCTTGAGCTTGACTGCTGAACAGATATATCTATACATTAAGGCTGCAGCAAGATTTCTACGTATTAAGGCCGCAGCCTTACAACGCCGTAATCAACCAGATCAAAGCTCAGAGACCTCATTCATATCCATAACAGAGTCACAGATATGATGACAAGCCGAATCCTCTAAGTTTCTTTCCCAGAACGCGGTCCTTGGTTTTCGATCAAAATAGGCAGATTACCACCCCTATGTTAAAGGTAACAGAACTGGGCGAGACACCGGAATTTTACCATTAATCATCTTCCAAACCTCTCCCCCTATCTCCAAACCACTCCGGAGAGCTTTCGACACGCCAGTTCTTTAATGTCCCCATGCACGCGGACATTATACTTTTCAATGACATCTCCAGGATCTCCAGGATCTCCAGGGCCACCCAGTGTGCCCGGTATACGCTTGGGGATTTCGTTGATGGGTGATGATATTATTCTGCTTTCTTTGTAGGATCATTATTCTGAAAACTTCTTTTTTTTTTTTTTTTTTTTTTTTTAAACTCTCATCAGTGGATTTGTGGGCTATATCTGTCTCGGTCTTGCCCATTATTTCTGATTATTAAACATTTTTAAAACGGCTTATTTTCAAACGGTAAAAACAGAAAACTTCTCTTTTATTTTCATTATATTAAAAGGTATTTCGTTGTTTAAACTTTTCTTGGAGAATCTTGGTCATGGCTGTTGCACAATTCCGATGTTGTACGCAACGCCGAGGTTGTGCAATTCTCTGATTTTTTAGGGAAAACAGATCGCTGTGTGCATGGGAAAAAGCAAATATAATATGTTGTATGTTATGTGTAAAGTTTAATGTATCTTTTTTGTATTTTTCATTTGTACTATGGCATTAATTGTAAATTTCATCTTTAATCATCCTTTTTGTATATTTTATTTTTTATTATTTTCTTTTGGTTTGTTGATAATGCTTTCAACTTACAATAAATATCAATAGTTAGATGATCCTTAAAGAGCCGCGAAAATCTCAGACATGCGTCCTATAAGTAAATTTTGCATTTTTATTTTAATACATAGTGTTTGCTATCGTAATTGCTCTTGATATTATATTTTATGTTTGAAACATTGCATATTATTCCGAATTTATGATTCTTATTTTCGTATCTTATTTTTTATTGGGAGAAATTAGACATTTGTCAGTTATTGATGTATGGAATATTAATAGGCGTAAAGAGAGTCTAGGAATCTGACAAATAGTGAAATCAAATCGGTGTATGATGTTCACTTGTCTTAAAAAATTATTATTTTTTTTACTAATACAGTCATTTCTTAAAATTTTTATAAAATAGTGAGTATTGTGTACTTAATAGTAAATAAGGTATTATGATGTAGTGTAGCAATATCATCGTTTGTAAAAACAGTAGAATTAAAGGGCTCTACAATGTAAATTTCAATTAATTTTTGTTTCTTATTTGTATCACTGTCAAAGCTAAAAATCTTTTTAAATAATTAAGCTATCTCAAATTCAAATGCATGAAACTGGGATGTTCAACCTTTTTAATAAGTCGTATAGTTATATATTCTATCATGTTAATTTAAAATACAAAAATTATAATACTTATTTTCTGAAAAATCAAACCTGAATTGTTAGAAAAGTAAATTTAAAATAAAGAATTCAATGTTAATTTTCAATAATAAACAACTGATTATTATTATTTTTAGTAGAAAATACTAAATTACTCGTAGTATAAAATTCTGGAATATATTGTGACATCATAAGCTCAGTCCCAACCATTTATGGCATTACTGAGCTCTGCCTTCACAATTTTGTTTATGCAGCGTATTCTGAGTTTTTACTAGCTTTTTGCTTACATTTCGCAGTTTAAGTGTAACATGCCTGCGAAAACTCGGTTTTTCTTTCCAAAACTTTTTGGCGATAACTGTTCGCCAACCTCGTGCGTCTAACACCAAAATTTTAAACAGCTATACGTCATTCACATTTGTCTTCGTTGCTTAAGACGCATGAGACTTCTGTTTTTTAGATTAAGTTTATTAATCGCATGATTTGTTTATATACATATATCGCAAAAGGAAATAATTTTATAACATTCTTTCTAATTAGGAATGTCGAAATTTTTGTTAAAAACATTTATGTGTTTTAATTCAAATGTTCTGTTAATTTTTATGTGTAAAACCAGTCTACTATACCTTTTCATTGTAATAAAATTATTCAAGATTTTAATTCTTACGTTTTATTTAGCTACCAAGAATCATAAATTTCAGACCAATTGTTACGAACTGAAATCATTTCAGAAAACAATTCGTAATGTAATAATCTGAAATCACTGTCAAAAGGTGAACAGATTTAAGCTTTAACCATAATTGTTTTTCATTCTCCAATCTTTAGCTTAAATTGTGAAGCTCATTATTTCGAACTGATAATATTTTTACATTGATGTTAAAAGAATATCTAAATTGTGTTGTATTGAATTTGATACTATTAACATTTTTCAGTCTTTTGAAAATGCTCCTGAAAGTAACGATCAAGAAACATCGTCAGAGGTGGAAATAATTGAGGAAAATGTAACATCTCAGCAGGAAGACTTTACCTATGATTCCCATGAAACAACGGCATATGGATCAACAGTAAACACACTTAAGGCAACTCAAGAGTACGCACTCAGGGAAATCAGTTTACTGGATGAAATAGAGGCACTAAAGGACAATTTACGACAACAAAATGCTGTTCTACAAAGGCTTAAAGAAGAATTAGAAGATACTAATACTAAACTGGCAGAGAAAGAACAGCAGTTAGAAATTTCGCAAAACGAACAGAAAAGTAAGCAAAATAATTAAAAGTATTCTTCAGTCTTTGTTTCCATCTGGTAAGGATAGTGGGAAAAACTTTGGCATGCTTTAATTTTAATTGTCAATGTGCACGTGTGAGAAGCTCAGCTTTCTGAATGCGTGTTAAATAAAGCAGGACAGAGTAATGTAAATTGACTGTAAATTTAAAAAATCAGCTATAGGAAATTAAATTAATCACAAGAAAGGCACATTTATTACAGTAATATTAGTAATATGAGAAATGATGAAAACGTTTTAGTAATGATAAAATAATAGCACTGTTCGTAATACTATTAAAAATTTAATAACCAATATAGCGATTTTCACAAAAGATAACCCTTATGTTTTACATCAGAATGCATCAGCAACTGATCATATATATACATTCATCTCTCAAAGTATTCATCAAAGTATTCTGGAATAATATTACCAAACTCTGGTTGTACATTCCATAGATGAAGATACCCCAAAAATGTCTGATGAACACAGAGTGGTAAAAATCACAGTTTCATAGTTGGCGAGTTATGTGCATCAATGACCAGAGACTGAGGAGACCAGCATTTGTGAAAATGTTTAGAAGATACCGTAGTTTACCGCAGAATTTTTGGTGATGAAAGTATGCGAAGTCTGTTTTGTTACACGTAACCCATAAATATTACGCATAAGCTATGCAGCTACTTTACTGCTAGCTATATTACTTGTAAATTACTCGTAACACGTAAACTAGCAGTACATTTATCATCTGCATTACTGGTACACTACTCATAACTTGTTAACTAGCAGTAAATGTATCATCTGTATTGCTGGTACACTACTCATAACTCGTAAACTACGCATTTCTCATTATATGTCCATACAATAAATTTTGTTAATCTTAGACCATAGAATGCATACCCGCTCTTACCGACTTTATACTTGGAGACTATGGAATATACATTGACAGAAAAACAATCCCGATACCAAGAAAACGTTATTGTTGAGTAATGAAATTTAGTCAATATATTTGCCTAAGTAACATACTTAATTAATTAAATTTTCAAGAGCGCGGTTAATGAAGCGCGAGAAGAGCCATTTCAAATGTTAAATGCTGGTACATTAATAACCGGTGTAACCGCCAGAATTTTGAATGCAAGCATACAAATGTGCATGCATTGTAACGTACAGGTGCCGAATGTCAGTTTTAAGATGAAGTTCCATGCCTCTTGCACTTGGTCTGTCTGCACAGGGATTGTTAATGCTGGCTGTGTATGACGCTGGAGTTGTCGTTCAGTGATGTCCCATACGTGCGCGATGGGAAAAATATCTGTGGATCTACCAGGCCAAGGCAACATGTCGACACTCAGTAGAGCATGTTGGGTTACAACAGTGGTACGAGAGTGAGCGTTATCCTGTTCGACCCCCCCCCCTTGAATGCCGTTCAAGAATGGCCGCGGAACATGTTGAATCATCTGACTGACGTACAGATTTGCAGTCAAGATGCATGGAATAACTTTGAGTGTGTTTTTGCTGTCATACGAAATTGTTCCCCAGCCATAAATTCAGGTGTATATCCAATGTGTCTAGGCCGCAGGAGCTTACCTGGCCTCCTTCTAGCGAGCACATGGCCGTCACTGGTACCAAGACACAGAAAACACGACAGATCTTCACTCCTTCCTCGAACGAGCTCTAGCTTGACATTACTGACGTCGCAAACGGCAGCAGACTCGGGGCTGCCCTTCAAGTAACTGATATCTTAAAGTTCGTTGTGTCACTGCGATGCCAACTGCAGCTCGAATTTCTGTTGCAGATGCAGTACAATGCACCTAGCTATACGCAGAGCACTGCGGACTTCCCTATCAGTAGTGCCACGTGGTCTTTCAGAATCCGGTTTTCTTGAGTCAGTGTTTTTCCTTGAACACTGCTGTCAACAATTATGGACAGTGGGTATAGTTCTGCCAAGTCTTTCTGCAATATCGCTGAAAGAAAATCCACCTTCTCATAGCCCAAATACATGACCTCATTCAAACTTACTGAACTGTTGATAATGACTTCTTAGTCTTCTTAAATGCATTCTTGACTAACATCCACTCACTACATCACACAACAACGATAAGTAACACTCATGACCTTTACAGCGCGTATTTAAGGCAAGCCTCATCTGCATGTTCACGGTGGCGCTACATGCGAAAAGCACGAAATTTGAATGGACGTCATGTTTCATATGTATAAACAATTCTATCAAATTTCCTTTATTTAGTACAACTCCTTCTTGGTGCTGGGATTTTTTTTTCCGTCAGTGTATATGAAGCTCCCATATAAAGAGGTATTAAATCTTATATTTCCAGGAATAAATGCAGCTGGTAGTTTAATATATACGTTTTAAGCAACGGTCTAGTCATTTTGCAGGGTCGATGAACAGATTTGATACATTTTGGGAGAAGTGTACGGTAAGATGTGGTAAGAATCTTTAGGATTTCCTATCACAGATTATTTATTATCATGAAACCTGTCAAAGATGCCTCGTTTACTGTTATACAGGGTGAGTTATAAGTCTTCATACAAAAGTGAAAACGGTGACTAATGTTTATTTTCTTATTACAAATGGTATTATATTTTGCTGCGGTTGCGTGGAAGGGAGATAATTGTTGGTACATATCTCCCTTCCACACTCAAACACAATGGCAGTCGCTTTAACTAATTTCTGAAAACGCGTGACAATATTTTCTTCTGTGTACACAATCGATTACAGTGTGCTTTAAAGGAAAAAATCCATAAGATCGAGGTCTGATGATCTGGACGGCCACGCCATTGAATCGCGTTGGCCGATCTAAAGTGCAGGAAATTGCTGGTCCAGCTATTGGCTCACATCAACGCCGTAATACGCTGAAACCCCGTATTGCTGAAAGAACGCAAGGAAGTTCCAACTTTCATCCAGGATTGACATGAAAATGTCTTTCAACAGGTAGATCATGTTTAGGTTTCGTTCAATGAAAGATAGGATCAACAATCCTGGTACCGAAATCCCACGAGTTTTCGCATACCTTGTAGAGTCCGACATTCAGTGAGAAAAAGAAAAACCAAGAACATTCTCTGTAATATTCAGTGCCCACTAACAGAATTCTGCCTTACGGTCAGAATCTTCCTATGTCAGATGTAGTAACATATGGAGCTTGTATGGGTGCCGCTTGTTTGCATACGTAATGCGCATGACACTCCTTTGGGTGATGCCCCTTTCAGCACAGACACGTCGGGTTTCTTTTGTCGGACATTTAGCCGTCTCTGCCAACATCATTCTCGACATGCCTTCATCAGTTGCTGTCTTTGGTCTTCTAGAAATGCTTTCATCAACGATGTAACCTGCCCTTTTAAATTTCTTGATAAGTTTTTGTCGTGGTGCCATGGATTATCTACTATGTTCCGTGAGTTAGTACATTGAACGGGCACTACATGATGATTGGCCAACAGAATGATATTTATCTGGTCTTTCGTTAATGGCATAGTTTTTCAACTGGTTCTTCTTCCTGAATAGGAAACAATAGTCACCGTTTTTGCCATTTTTATGGAGACTTGTTACTCACCTTGTATGTCTAAACGTGTTTGAATGAAAGGGAATAAAACAATGCATGATTAAGTACAGGAAATGTTCAGGCAATACTTCTTGACAATTGTAGTCAACAAGCTCAATCTGCTCTCTAACAGATATTCTGGCACCTCAAGTCAGATAATTGTTTTAGATAGATAATAAAGATTTTAAGTCTTTAACCATTTTCACTTGAACTGCCTTTAAATTCAATTTGCAACTATGTCATGCATTTTAATGTACATTTAAAAAATCTTTTTAATAATATACCAATATAATTACTTCATTAGTATAAACTTATCATATTATTTATGTGTTTTGCCTTAAATATTATGTACGTTGTTGTAATACTTAACTCTTAACATTACTGATTGGCCTTCTTGAAAGCTCTTATTTGCTTTAAAAAATTTTGTAGTGTTTTTTTTTTTGCAAATGTATTATACACTTTAATGTTTTTTTTGTACTTTTGTTTTAACTTATTATCCCATTCAGTTCCTTCCATAACTTTTGGCATATGATGCATTATTATCGTTTAAGCATATGTATATATGAGATATTTTATTGATTAAACACAACAATTTCATTTCTTCATAAGTTGAACTCTTTATAACCATTTTAGGTTATGCGTTAGTTTATAAATTTGTTTTTATATATGTACACCAGGCTTTTAGAATGACAATTAAGCCTGATAAGTCTTTCAGATAGCAAAAATTAATCTAATATGAGTACAGATTAAAGGAAATCAAGTAACATTTTACTGTTATTTTATCTGGTTTTTAGATTACATATAATATGGCTTCTATTTGTATTATGTGTTTTAGATCTATTTAATGGATTAATATACTTTTGAACTCTTCAAGGACTAAATGATATGAGGGTGGAAACTGAAAAAGTGAATAGAGAAATCAAAAAATGCCAAACTGAATTTACACAAGTTAAGTATGAAAACTTAGAGAAAGACATCAGCTTGTTGAGGTAATACTTTGAATATAAAACATTTTTCTTACCTTCAGTTACTCTAAAAATATTTAAATTTGCCTCATTGGAAATTATTATTGCATTTCTTAATTTACAGAAATATTTTAATTCTAGACAAGAAAATTTACGGCAGCGTGAGAAGCTTAATCAGCAGAGCAATACCATACAATCTGTTAAAAGTCAACTTTGTGCGACGATTTCTCACTTAAAGCATTTAAAAGATACAGCAACAAAGCAAATGAAAAGACAGAAGAATCAAGTTCTTAAATTATATAAGGTATTAACTATTTTATAGAACTTCATTACATCATTAAAAGAGAAGTAATGAATTAAATGTGTATTAATATTAAACTGTTTGCGATAAATACATTAATGACGTTTTCGGTAGCTTTGCAATTTGCATGGCTTTGCATACAAAACTAAACTTTATTGAAAATATATTGATTTGATGCCTTACACTTGCAGATAAAAACAATGAACTCAATAACACCAGAAAAGTATATTTGATTTCAGGCTAAACAACTGCTACATGATACAAAAATTGCTTTAGAAAAGAAATGCGAAGAAATTGAAAAAAAGAATGAAATGCTCTCTGTTCAAGAATTCCAGTTGCAGTAAGCTCTGCTTGCATTAGATTTTATGATGCTCTTATTTTTCTTCTTATTTTTAAATTCCAGTTTTATATTTTTTATGTATTTCTATGAATATTGTGGAGAAACCACACAGATCATTGTTTCATATAAAAGCTATTCATGACTTGAATAAAAGTTCATGAACTGCGCTTGTGATATTTTGTTGCTTTTCTACGGGTTCGTGGATTTGGAGTGATTGATGACAACACTTGATGAAGAACGAAAATACAATTTTTTAGCCAATATTACTCAGGACAGCTTCAAAAACATGTTTCCAGTGGTCGAAAAACTACGACAAACACGCTGAAACAATCAGCAACACAGCCTTTAGGCTATCAGGCTATAATTGTGAACACAGCTTCACGGCAAAGCCTCAACGACGCACACTCTGAATTCACTACGAAACGCTAGACTTCTGCTCCACATATAGGCAGGGTTTACATAGCTTTTGGCTTGCCTTCGAGAACATTCAGAGCCAAACCAGTAAGAATTCGTTCCAGAATGTTCTCCCTTCGTCTATGATATCATCAATTTTGTCACAAAATTTCGTCAAATGGGCGATTTCGGCCCAAATCTGGCAACCCTGCCTTCCCTTGCTATTTTCTGGAAACCCTAAACCCGCCTTGCGGGAAAGCTATCTTACCGCGGCTGGGCAGTTCGTAACAATATAAATAACCAGGCGCTATCTAACAGCATATATAATACTGTTGATTTCGCTGTATCTTACTCTGTTTAATTGGTATTATAATTGAAGAAAATTAACATAATATTTACATTTATTTCATAGATAAAAAGTTATTAAAACACAAATGAGGCAACATTTTTTATTATGCTTCCTGTTGAAGGTTTATTATTGCATTCTGTTAAAAATTATGCATTAACAGAAACTATTTGCCATTTATACAAATTATGTTGGAAAAAATTCTTACATCTCAGCTATTTTAAGATTTCATTAATTTCTTGAGTATTATATGCAAACAGACATTTGCAATTAGATTTTCACATCTATCATTTACTGGAGAGCGGATTTATTCCTGGTAAAATTTTGATACCTGAGGACAAATATTACCGCACATATTTATCGGGAATTCCAGTTGTAATTACAAAATATAGGGGTAATAAAAGAAGATTACACCACTGGTGTTGCAACAAGATGGAAGACATAAAGAAAATAATTTTTCGCAAAATACTTACTACACACTGATTTATTGATGTATTCCAAAGTTTCTCCAGAAATTGAATCTATGAAAATTAAAAAAGGAAATTTTCTGAAAATAAAGCAACTTAAAAAACAATCTGTTTAATGAAATAAAAGTACATTTTCAAAGAAAATATCACTGAAAACGTTTATACTAAATTGAAGCAGGACTTATAAATTCCATGCGGTATAATCTCCTGTATCGAATTATAATATACTAACTCCGTATACTCTATACTATTACATACTACGTCCTATAAGCAATGAAATGCTCGTCTATGGATTACTTCTCATAACACGAAAATATCACATTTAATGTAGCACAAAAGGGTATTATTTTCTAAAAAACCTTTGTACTCGCCATTTGGGGGCGGACATAAATTGGATCTTCAGTAGAATATTTGCTGAAAGAAAGATAAGAGTTAGAATTTCATCTAAAATTTTATTTAGTGTGGGTTGAGCTAACAAAGGAATTTTTCTGTAGTGAAAATTGTATTAGACCACCTAAAAGCAAGATCTTTATAAGTCTAAATACGGAGGTTTAAAGTGACAATTCTATGATACAAAATGCGAAGTTATATGGAGACGTAGCGAGATTCAAGAAATAAATTTTTATTTTTTGGAGCTTCGTTATAAATAGATGTTGTAAAGCATTGTTTGTTTAATATTTGTATACTGCCCATTCAGTATTCACTCCAGAGATACAGCTCGTTTATCAGAAATGATCGAAAATAATTTTTAATTTATTTCATGCAATTCAAAAAAAAAAAAAAAAGTCAACGGATTTCTAACATCAATACTAGAGTGAGGAATCTACACACTACCTTTGATATAGAGACTGGCGTTTTCACACTGCTCTGATAAGACGCTTCTCCTTCGTTTTCTTGTTTCGGACTCTAAATGAAGAAGCTTTGCAGACAATTGTGGGAGGTCTGCCATTTAATACTGAGCATTAGGAAAACGACATTAAATGGGTGGTATCTGTTTTCTAACTTAGCATATCTACATTTGCCGTCTTCGAATGACGTAATAAAACCTTTAATAGGGATTGTTAATTTATTTTTGTTGATTGAAACCTTATATAAGAATAATAAATTCGCATTTGTTGTCGTAATTTATGAAATTATTTATTGAATTAAAGAATTAAATTCTAAAATGGCAGAAGAAAATGTGATTCATTAAATCATGTATGAATTCATTAGATTAGATATCAAAAACATAAATATAATTTTTTTTCAGCGAAATTCAAATACGATTAGATTCCACAATAGAAGAAATGAATAAAAGGTCTAAAGAATCTCAGGTCCAAGTTGTAGTTGAAAAATCGAATTTTGCAACGCAAACGGACGTGAGTGTAATTTTATATATTTTTATTTTTTACTTAGCTTAACCCTACTAGTCCAAATCAAAATAAAGTAAAATTGAAATAAAATTCAAAAAGGAACACACAAACAAACAATAACCGTTTGATGGAAAAAAACATACTATAATGATTCTTTGAAGCCATTTTAGTTCTAATTAACATTAAATGCATTAAAAGTTTCAAGTTAGTGAAATATTTTGAGTTCGTTCTCTAAAATTAGATATTGGTGACTTAGATTAAATTTAGTAATTAAATATGTAGCTAGCTTACTTCCAGAATTTCAGTAATATCATTCTTAAAATGTTTAGGATATCATTCAATGTTTTCAGATGGTATGATTTTATTATACGGTACAAATACCTAAATACAAAGTTGCAAGTCGTGCATTTCCAATATACATTTTATTATTATGTAGTGGCTTGTATAAAAATATTATTTAGGTATATATTTAAGATATAAGAAAATACGATAGCTGCTTTAAAAATAACTTCATGTTATGTAACAACCTCAGATTAACCAATCATAGCTTGTCTATACACTTACATCAGACTTAATATAAACACCGCTGGCGAATTAATTACGTCATTTCATCCCCTTCCCTAAGTGCTACTCTGTCATCCTCACGCCTCCTCTCTTCTCAAATGCCTACGTCATTTCTTTTAAAAAACCAATATACATAGAAATTTATCATATTTAATTAGGATTGAATGAGTGTCTGCCAAATTAATTGGATATGTCTGAAAATAAAGATTGGTGATTTATGAAAATCTAATTCTGTTACCTTCAACGGCACTACGTACTTGAGTGAAAACAGAAATATCTTAGACTATCAAATTATTTAAAGACATTATGAGTTACCTTTTTCAAGCGGTCATGCAGACAGATTTTAGTTCTGAAGATCATTTTGTCTTGAGATGCGAGAAATTATTAACTAAATTTTTCACTTCATTATGATAAGCATTTTCCATCTACCGGAATAAATGATACTCCAAATGGTCTATATTTGAAGGCGATATTATGTCGTTTACTCTAAGCGTAACAGCCAAGCGTCAATGACGCTATCTTTAAACACTTTTTAATCTGATGCTTAGCATTGTCATGGAACAATTTTAAGAAACGAAATCTGATGCAAGTGAACGTTTTCGATCGATTTCCTGATCCAGTTGGAATAATAATTCCTTTTACTAGTCGGCATCAACAGTTTGACCATATTCCAGCTGTTAATAACCACGCATATTCTCTATATCTACAAGATGCATTGCAGAATTTTCTTGGAGCGTATATTGAGTTTCAGTGTCAACATTCTTATTTCACTGGAATCCCAGATTCTAGTCACTGTTTTTTGGATTGTTGAAGCACATTCAGGTTTCATGAGTAGTGACAATTCCCGCCGCAACGAATTTCTGTATAATTTGTTGTACAGATTAAAACACTTAGTGAACACACATCCTTATTCTTCTGGTTCAGTTCACATGGCAATTTTTCTTCTTTCTCATCCTTATTTATATGAAACTATTCTTTTCGGAAATATTCGCATTGAGTGTAAACGATTGAAAACGGTTTGTTAAGTTACAACCACTTGTGTCAGGAAAATATGTTTCCGTTGGAATGCTTGCAGGTAATTGTGTACAAACTTTTACGCGGCAGTACTACGTTTTTGACCAACAACGCTGAATTAAATCAACAGCGCTGAATTAAACGCTCATTCAATTGTCTAACAGGAACTTTACGTTTTGATAAAATGTTCTTCGAAGAGCAGATTAAATTAATACACTTACATTTGAAGAACTTTTTCCTTGATGAAACTTTGAAATTTAAAACGAATGCAGTCGTTTATTCTCGTTCACCTGTCTCAGTTAAAATACTTTTGAGTATTAAACCAAATTCTGTAGATTTATTGCTGCGAATAAATTGTATTTAATTGATACAAATGAGGGAAATATTTGATTTCTAAATTAAAATTTGCATACATAAAGCAAATAAAAGACTTTTTAAAATTTATTTGTGCACACTATTTTACGAAGGAATGTTCCTACGACGAGACAATATTGATTCTGATTTTTAATATTATCAGTCCTTAACTACCTCTAATGCAAATCGAAAATAAATTCTGTATTCGTCTAGTAATATAAATTAAGATTCTTCTAAGCAAGCCAATTGCTTATCTTATCATTTTTATTACTTAGTCTGATTTTCTTAAGTTTTATTATAGCCAGTTCTAAAGTTGCATTGTAAGCATAACTAATAAAATCTGAACAAAGCCATTTGTATCTTTAAGAGAATGAGAAGTTTTAACCAAATATCAGCTTTCAAGAGTCTTTTTGTTAGTTATTATTATTTTTAATATGGTTCAGTTTTATGTCCTCAAAATTAATATTAGATGGAATCCTTGACGATAGATTCATAAATTCATCAATCTTTACTTTAATTTTATTTTTTAACGTGACTTCGCTGGCTTCCGAGATTTCAAAAATCACTCACAGAACATACATATCGGTTGCTTTTTCATGTTATGTGTGGAGATAATTTGGCAGGAAATCAGGATTTATAAATTGGGGTCAAATACACTAGTAGAATAATTTTGATAATTTAATTTGTTAGGATTTTTAAAAACCCGGTTAATATAAAATTTAGAAGATTCTAAACCAGCACTTTTTCTCCCACATTATCGTTCTTATAAACTGCAGCTAGTTTTCGGTAGACGAGAATTACAAGTAGAACAGAATCCCTTTAATTAAGTTGCGAAAATTAAATCTAATATTTTCCCTATTACTTCTACCATGTAATTGTTATGACTATTATTCTCTGTATATGCATGTAATCGTGGTATTAAGAGTAAGTTAGTTTTTCTGTATTTAATACGATTTATAATATTTTCCTCGTGGCTTAAAATTTATGTAGTTCTGCCAGACCAAAATGATCGAATGCTAGAATGCTTTGACAGACTCCGTTAGTTAAAATTGTTATGAAAACTAGAAACTCTCTACGTTATATGCTTTAAAGTTGCAATCCATGTTAAAAATTTTAAATTACAGATGTTCATCGATTTACGATGGAGTTGTGCTTTTATAAATCCTCTGAAAGTTGAGAATGCCATTAGTCAAAATTGCACAAATGATACGCCTATCTTATCGATAGAAGTACCTTGTCAAATATGCAGTTTTTTCTGCCGAAAATTTAAAGTTTTATATTTGAAAAAAATATAGAGTGCAGTTTCTAATAAAATTAAATACGAAAACAAGCAACTAGAAGTTTCAACTTATTTTCATAAGTGAGTGTCATATAAATGCAGTAAATAAATATTCAGTTGCTTATACTTAAAAATATAACAAAAATTAGGCATTTTGGTTGCAGAAACAAGATTGATCAGAATATGATATTACGGGATAATATTTATATTTTGTAATATAGTACTTTCATATTTTGAATAACTTGTTTAAACGTTCGTCTTGTAAAATGTTTTATTAACGTTTAGTATAGCTACACAGCTTTTCTCTAAACGATTAAGAAAATAACAGGAACAAATACTTAGGGCATTCATTACGTCATTTTTCAGCTATCTACAAATTAAAAATGCATGAATAATTTGCTTAAGTTAAATGCCGTAATACATTACAAAGTCTTGTGCCAAAATAATTAAACCGGATAATACTTGTATCAGTTAAAATTAGTACGTTAAGTTTAATAAAATTTTAAGATTCTGAAAAACCAGCTATAGCCATGTTTAAAGTATAAATAATAGTTTAACTCTTTAGTTCTAATAAATTTGGGTTGAAAACTATGATTTTTAAGACCTGAACAGGCTTTATACGTAATACTTTTAAGCAATATCCTTATTCAATTAACAAAACTCCAATTTTTCTCATCAGCAAGCCCTGGCTAGTAGAATTATGCATTTGTAACAGCAGGTTCGGCTAAGCGGAAAGTTAACTTTGGTTACCGATTTGGAAATTAGAGATCAAATTTCGAATAAAGTGTATCTTTAAATTATTTTTATTGACTGAATAGCTGTATGTTGTTTCAGTATAAGTGCTATAAATATATGAGTTTAAATTAGCGAAGGTAAAATGTATTGAAAGAAACGGAACTTTTCACTATACGTTTATAAAACTCAGTACCGTCGTTATCATAAGAAATTAATTTACGAACGGTTAGGCATATTAATTATATGGCTGATACTTGTATTTTGATAAATTTTCATTTTTTTTATAAATTTATCAGAGAAATTGTATTTTGATAAATACGCACAATATTAAATTATCTATACATTCATACCATTTTAATGTTAACATTAAGGAAACTTCGAATTTCCTGAAGTTGTGAAAACTGAAGCAAAATATTTATATTTTATGATGTTGAAGATAGTTAGTCTGCCAAACTTAGCAATTTTTTGCAAACATGTTGCAATGTCAAATGTTGCAATACTGATTATCAAATAATTTTTAAATATATCATATTTCAACATTATTTTAGCGACTTAAATGACACTACTGTAAAAATATTTCATATTTAAAAGTGCTTTATTTTTCCTAATAACATTAATTCATTATTGAAGTATTCTGTATGTACCCTTGTTTTGGATTAGCCTGTTTAATCATTATAGTTTATGTCATTATTCGCAGAGTTTGATGAAAAGCTTCGACGAAAAGAAGGAGCTTTCAGAACCATCCAATGCACAAGTTGTCATTTTGAAAAGACATTCGGAAGAGTTACATGAAATTCAATCGAAGCTTCAGCATTTAGAAGCTATATTTTCCAACAAGAGAGGTATCTGTCAAAAGTAAACCACAAAATATCTTTTCATCAGTTATAAAAATGATGATTTTTAAATCACTAAATCGCAATCCTTAGCTCACAGAAATAAATCTAGGTATCCTATTATAAGAAAAGGGATTTCTAGTAAAGGATGAACCATTCATTCCTTGAAAACTGTAGAAATAAGTTTCAATTGAGAAAATAAAATTTGTCATCATATTAAGCTGCGAAGATGATATATGGTAACGTCTCAGTAGACATAACAGAAGATGGGTGCTAAAATTTTCAAAACAGGTATAATTTGATCCAGGGCTCAATATCTAGCTGAAAGGACTACCGCATGGATGGTCCGTGTTATGCATTATTTTTGTTGTGTACAATTATTACGTATTATTTGCTGTGAATAGGGAATGCTTAGGGATTATATTAATTTGCTGTGAATAAGGAATTTGTAATAATCTTATTTAAGAATTAATGTTTAATATATAGTTTTGTTTAAACTTTTCGTTCGATTACGGCAAATTTCTTTTAAGTTTAGCTCAAGAGTTTGATACAGCAAAAAGGGCAGGTTTTTTCTTATTTCCGTTTCTCACAAAGCGGTTGAATTGTTATATTGTGTTTGTGTTACCAAGTTAGTAATTAAGGGTATTAGGGACACTTCACTCTTGCTGTCGATTTTGGCTACAAATTGAATTGTATTAAAATGTTTATAGTTGAATTTTCTTAATTGGTTGGTTTAAGTATAGGTAAATTTGAAATTGTTGTGAATAACTTATCACTGTTCTCCGTGACTACATTCTTTTGTGTAATAGTATTCTTCAGTTATGCATATTTTTTTGTGTGTAATTAACATAATTTTTCTATTTCCGGACCGTGGGGGAATTGTTATGAAATTGTTATGTATTATTTTTGTGTACAATTATTGCGTATTGTTTACTGTGAATAGGGAAGTCTTATGGATGACATTAATTTACTGTGAATAAGGAATTTGTAATGTTCTTATTTAAGAATTAGTGTTTAATATATAGGTTTGTTGAAACTTTTCATTCGATTACCGCCAAGCTCTTTTAAGTTTAGCTGAAGAGTTTGATACAGCAAAAAAAGGCGTGTTTTTTCTTACTTCCGTTTCTCACGAAGCGGTCGCTTTGCGGCCAGTTGCGTTTTCCTGCCCACTTATCTTTCGTGGGGTTGACCCCGTGTTTCGGGTGTGGATGCGAAAAAGTATTTTCGACCTTTCTGAAGTAGAGAATTGGGTGACGTGTTCATTATTTACTGGTGTCGCAAGTTTAAATGAATTACGATTGGAAACATTCTTGCTGGTTTGCGCGCGAAAGTGTATGCCATCTTGTAGAGGGGACTGATTCTTCGAATTCTGGAGGCTATGTATTGCCTCTGTTCTAGTTGACTATGAGGAGTTCAAGTTTTGTTTAAGATAGGCTAATTTTTAATTTTAGTGATGTTTGAGCAAATAGTGAATTAGAGGCGTTACATTTTGAGCGTCAACCGAGGTTTTTTAAGCCGTTACACGAGAGGCAGGATGAGGATTTTTTTAGAGATTTGGTTTAGTTCTCATCTATTTTTGAGAAAGAGCTTAGCCCGGCGACCCCTTGGGGGCGACCGCGGTTCGCGTTTAGTATTGTTTATCTCCGAGGGTTTTGACAGCGCGGGGACCGGTCCGAGCTCGCGGTGGGCTTCCATCGGATAGACATCGGCGAAAATGACAGAAGATCTGGGGATAGGTCCAGCGTTATCCCTGACCGCCAAATTTTGTTTGAAAAATTCGACGCTGATATTTTTTCACTTGGAAGGACGATATGGAAAGAGTGGAGTCGTTCTGCCATGGTCTGCTGTCTCCTGTTGTCCCTCTCCTGCGGTTATCTTCAGAATAACTTCGAAATAAAATGGAAGGCTGATTTTAGAGTTAAAATGCTACTAGACAGCGTATAGTGCTGGAACTATGAGAAAATTCTCGTTGTGCCTTGAATAGACTTCAGTATCGGTTTTCCTGACAGCGATGAAGTTTCGGCCGTTATTGTTTCGACGATTTGTGAATGGATCCGGGCAGCTCCCTGAGACCCTCAAACTTCTGTACGCGGACTCCGTGAGTGAAATTTTGTTTCCTCTCGTTTTGTTTAAATTAGAGGGAATGAAGTTAATTTTTTTGCTGTTTAACGGTCATATTTATTTAATTTCGATATCTCTTATAATAAATATTTCTGAAAAGAAAGTTTCAATAAAGTAATGTTATTCTGTATTATATGAAGCAATTTAATCGATTCCTAAAGACCAGAAGATAAAATGTTCCATATTCTAAATGTGAATGTGAATTAATGATTTGTAGTATTCATACTCGTAATGAGAAATTATGAGGGAATTTTGAGATTAAGTTTTGTAAGGGTAGTCTGGCCAGCATTCGTAAATTATAATGTTTGGAATATTAAATAGATGTGTTTATTGATTTAATTATTGTATGTTTTATTTTGAGTTTTATTTGTGGTTTACTGTAGGTCATCCATGTGATCCTTACTGAAAATATGGTTTTACTTCAATTTGAACCTGGGCAAAACTTATTGCGGTAGTAGCAAAATCAATTTTGAGTATTTTGTGACTGTACGATTGGCTTATTAAATTTATTTAGAATTTGTGTTTAGACTTTTTTAGTGTGAGATTTATCTTTCCCTGGTGTTTTGAAAAGTTCTGTGTTGTTGTATTTTAAATGTAAAGTGTTTTGGAACTATCTCTAGAGTGGAATTGATATTTATGTGTTTTAAGAAAGTCAGTGGATCTAGTTGTATCTTAGAGAGAGATAGCAGATCGAGGAATTTGTTACGAAAGTGAATTTTTACATTTTGTTTTGATAAATAATGTTTGATTCTAACAAAACACTAGGGAGGATATTATCTATTCATTCAAAAATGTTAAAGAGGTAAGACAAGTTTTGCTTATCCGAGTGTTTTGTTCCTAGTTTTTTTAGTTTTCCCTTTTTTTTTTTTTTTTTTTTTTTTTTTTGTTGCTGCGCTACCAGAGCAAGAGTCAAGCAGTTTAAAAGTAAAAAGTAATTTTAACCTATTTTTTTTTTACGTCACATCCGTGATTTTTGGTTGTATAAAGAAAATACAGAAGTTTTTTTCTTAGAAAGTTTTCTACGAAAGTATCTTTATAAAGCAGTTCATTAGCAGTTTAGGGATCCTATAAAATGAAATCTCATTAAACATCGTTACGTTCGTACGGTTTCGTAATAGATTGAATGCATAGGTCCGATAAAAAGTTAATAAAATTTATTCTTAACACAAGAAATATAACAAAACGCTGGAATTTTTCTCCGAGATATTCGTACAGGTGTTCATAATAGCAGGCAGTAATAATCAATAGAAAGCAAATACGATAAATAGAATGTAATTCACAACGCATTTGAAAAGAAAAGTACTCCGTTCTCATCACGAATTCGCAACAATAACAACAGCAGCTAACCTAACAACTGGAGCTGAGATGTCTCTCTCAGGCTTTAAATAGTTTTCAACCGGCCGGGCGACATAGTTCTAGCATTATCTGCTTCTCGAGATTTCTAGAAAGCAGAAAGAGTGGAATTACGGCTACAGCTAACATAGTGTTCAGTTACATTTATTCAATTTAAATACAAATTAGTCAGTGTTTCTAAATTATTGCTTTCCTAACGTTAAAGGTAACTTTTAGAAATTCTCACCCAAAAACCCTGACATGCGTGGCTGTCTGAAACTTTAAACCTAAAAACAGTCTTTAGATACTTAGAAAAGCAAGAACCCCAGGAGCTATAGTTAACGGTAATTTTGACTGTATGAGGAAAGATATTTTTTGCATGCCTAACTGGGCTACACGGTTCAAGGAAACAATTTTCTTTTTTGACATTTTACTTATACGTAAATCTATTATAGTTATTCTATTTAAATTCTTAATATTTTTTAAGTATGTCACGTGATTAAAATTTCTGTAATATAAAAGCCTACGTTATTTGATTTATTTCTTAGATTGGAATTATTGGTTTGCAGCCAACCATTTAAGAAATATTTATTCATGCAATCTGTTTTAAACAACCTTTAGATATAATACATGTATGAAAGATAAAAAGTTGGCTCATATTTGGAAAATGATTAAAGCTCTTATATATTAAACACTAGGTATTACATGAATTAAACAAGGACTTATAGAAATAAATTCATAATGCTGGAAGTCAAGTAAATGAAATTTAATGCTACAGTAATATAAGTATGAAGTTCTTTGATTTTAAAAAAGTATTCACTTGCCAATAAATATAAAATGAATGTTTTAAACTGCAGGCTTTTTATTTTGACGTTAGCGGATTTTCTAATATAATCCAATTGTATTTTATTGAAATTTAATATATTTCTTGTATTTTAGAGCAGAAAGTTAGGAGTGATGACACTCTGAATAAAGCTAATATTGGAGCAAAAGTTTCTTCAACACTGAAAGAAGGGAACATTTGGAAACTTTTAACAATAAGTGAGCAAAGTGTAAGTTCCTTTAACGTTTGATTTACAGCTACCTTTTGAAAAATGCTTAATTCTAAATGACGTTTTTCTTCAATTTAGTTGTATATGATTAAAATTTAAAAAAAAAAAACTCATACTCTGTCTTACAGTATCTGAGTTTAATGAATAAACTCTCCGAGTCACTCCAGATTGCAGACTTAAAAGGATCAACAGCGCTGATGCATTCTTCTTGGCTAAACTGTGATGATTTGGCTGATGCGAGACGACAGGATCATAAGAAAATACTGCAATGCTTAGAAAAACTAAAGAAAAATATTCGGTATCTGCAAGAGACGTCTCATCAGGAACATAAAAGGTCAGAAAGTACAACTGTTTTTTCAAACAAAACTATATCAATATATTAAGACACAATAACACGCCGAATAAATACTAATTCAGAAGACAAACAACAAAAACCCATTTGCGGTTTTGCAGCTGAGGATGGTGGTTCGGTAAAACCATCGAAACTAGTCCTGTGGAAATTTTGTAAATATAACGCTGATTTTTGTTGTTTGTCTTCTGAATTAGTATATCAATATATCTTTAATGCAATGAATATGCAGGGTTTTTCAAAAAGAATGAATCAATTTCTAAATCCTTATTTGTAGTCTTCAAGAAGCTTACCAGAATGAATCACTGACCAATTGGAAGTGCAGGGTTTTAAGTTTTGTTTAGTAAAAATGGTAAAAACGGTCTATCGCGCTATGAATGAGTCGTCTTATTTGCATTAGAAAAGTCTACACTTCAACAAAAGACTGAAACGGTCTACTTCAATGGTTCTGCTTTCGAAAGTATATTTGGTGGTGATTTCGGGAATTTCAAGGCAATGGATGTCTGTGTTCAGTGTAAAGGAGTAAGCTACTGACTGTCGCGAGTTTCGGAGGGAAAAAAGGAAGAAAACCAGAAAGACGTTTCCAGTGAAACCCATGGAAATCCACAAATCAAGCTAACAATCAGCTTATGATACTTCAGCCTACTGCAACCTTTCTCAGACTGCAACGTTTGCCCGATTAGATTTCTTTTTCTGAATAAAATATAGCTTCTAAAAATCATTCCATTCTTGTTGAATAACCCTGTATTAAGGAATGGAAGATATAAAAATACGTGTTCTTATTTAACATAAATCTTATAGTGAATGCTAACTATTAAGTTTAACTATTAAGTGAACTATTAAGTGAATACTAACTATTTCATGGTTTATCAATAGATCAAATTTTGAATATTTACCAGCTTTTGCTATCTTTTTAGACAGAATGTAGAAAGTATATCTTCAGATGAAAAGAAACCAAGCTTCACGGTACAGTTTATTTACAATTTCATTTTATTTGATAGTAATTAATAATATAAATTATGCAAATTAGGTCAGTCTCTTTCAGAAGTACAGTTTCGAAGCAAATGCATATAACGGTAATATGCTACACATTTAAATGTACTTAAATTTGTCTCTACTTTTAGTGCCATTCAGATGAAATGCATTTTCAATATCTCTGTGAGGTCCTACAGAAAGCGCAAGAAAGTCTTATGAAAGAATACTCTCAAAGAAAAACTGCACATCACAGAACAGTTATTACTCCGGGTTCAGTAAAGGTAAAAAAATCAGATTTTGTTCTCCAAATTAAGCATTTTTGAACCTATCAGAAATGAAAATATGATGATTATAAGTTAAAGCTATAAGCATATCATTATCAAACATAGTTTTAATGTTTTATTTTAATTTAACTGCATAAAAAGTTCTTACCACTCTCAACCACCTTCACGCTATATTTAGAAAAAAAAATTTATCTCCCGCCAGCATATATACGTAGGTAAGGAAAGTAAAGATTTCGGTGCAAAAATTCGATAGTGAGTTTTCAGTGAATAAGCACGAAATGGGGTCTTCATAACATGTTTTTGCTGTTTTAAGAATCATGTCTGTCTTTTGTGCGCCATGGTTTCAGTGTGTATGTATATGAAACTTCCAAAAATTTATATGAAATTTCCAAAAATTTCCATTTTTCGTATTTAAGATAATTACCTTCATGTAAAGATCTGATTAGATGTTGCATAAAATTGGACAATTGGAAATGGTACTTTACTTGAACCCCACATAAAGATCTGTTCACACTAGCGGGGTTTTGAGCGCAAGAATCATGCATGAACTTGAGGGCTCGGCTAAATAGTTGATTACATTTTAATAAATTAGAAAGTCCTCCACGAAGGCATCCATCCCCTTAGGCAGATAGTCCTTGACTGACTCTTTGCTGCAATCAAATAAACTACACCAAAATCATTTTGACAAAATCGGGCATTCAGATTTAGTACTTTACTTAAGCACATAACAGTCTTTAATGGACAATTGGAAGTAGTACTTTATTTGAAGCCCATAACTGTTTTTGTTGAAAAACTATATTAAAGTATAATACAAAGCTTTTTAATTTTAGTATTTAAGAATTTTACTGAAGTAGGAACAATCTATTAAATTGTGGCTTAAACCGATTAAGGATTGCCGCAATAAGTAGTTTAGATTTGCTAAGGATTTGTTGAACTTTATAAATGGCAATAGAATAATACTGGGAATTTTCGTGTGATGTTTCTAATTGTATTTCTATTTTAATCTTTTAACTTTAGTTTTGTTTGTCTGTGATGGGTGCGCTGCGTTAACAATGAAGCCGATCATTATAGGCCAGGAGGTTTGAGGCACACTTGTATATTACATTACTCTTTTGTAACATATCTGGTCCATTACCTGCTGTTACTGTATAAGAATTTAAATATATGGTGATCATTTATTGCTGATTTTTATAGATAGAAGAGTTTAAATATATGACAATAATTTATTGCTACTTTGTATAGCTACACGCAAAGTTATTCGCCTACAAACGGTCAGGGTAGGTTAGGTTACTCAAAGAACCATTCGCAAATAAACACTAATAAAGGTTGGCAAATAAACAGCAATAAATATTCGTAGTGCATTAGAGGATGTTGTAATGGAACAGGTAAAACATCTGCTTGCGAAATTCGGCATTTGATAATCAACCACAGAGGAAGTATGATGTAAATTTTCAGTAATTCCGAATTAGCGAAAGCATCTGGCCGACTGTGCTCCTCTACAGTAATCGGTACCAGGATAGGGAGATTACAAATCACCAGATGCCTCATGAAAGATTGTGGATTCAGGATTTGTCAGAGCAAGTCAGAGGAGTTGGGAACCAATGACATGGACACCTCAAATAGAAGAGATGATGCTCCATTATGCAGAAAGGATTGTCATACACAGGCGATCGTTACAAACCTCTCTGTTTCTCAAATAATCATCTGGAGAATCCTTCATTCGGACCACTTGTATCCATACCATGAATAGCGCCTAAAGTAATTGTCTCCTGCTGATTACGCACCGATAGTTGTAGTTGCTAAATGGTATAAGCAGAAATGTTCGACGGAATCCCATTTCCCGGCTTCTAACTACCCTGTTCACCGACGAGGCATACTTTAGCAGAGAAGGATGCTACAACGCATATATAACATGCAAATATGGGCAGTGGACAACCCCAGGAGTACTTAGCACATACAGCATAGCACCGGTTTTCCGTCAATATTTGGGCGAACATAGTTGGCTACCACCTAATATGCCCATATTTCATGCCTGTTAGTCTGGACGGGTCATTTTATAAGATTTTATTGAAGGAATTATTGCCCGCATTGTTAGATGAACGAAGCATCCAGCAGCTGAAGCCCAACATTATGTGGTTCCAGCATGATGGTACCCAATCCATTTTACTCTTTCAGTTTAGTAACACTTGAATTCGCTGTGGTTAACTGGAAAGCCTGGCGTACGCCCGTGACGAAACACCCGTGACTAGTAAGGACGATTTTGTCCCGTACATTAGCGTAGCAAGGGCGATCATCCGTGAGACTCCAGGTATATTCCAAAATGTTCGTAGTGCCACGCCGGTATCACGTTTGTATCGTAGCTGACGGCTGTAACTTCGAACACTTACTGTGATCTCTGAATATCCCAGCAGCGAATTGATGATTAAAATATTATTATTCACATTATTCTCTCTTTCTCTTCTTGTGATTTCTTCTCTGCTTTATAGTACATGAGGACTATTTTTCCACCTCTATACTGCAATAAAATTTCGAATCGTCTTTCGGTGACCTACCTGACCCTGAAGTTTGTACGTACTTAAGATAATCACCTTGTATATTTTCTATATTTGGTAGCGCAGTCTATTTTGTCACCTGTTTGTTACACATTAATCACAAAAATGCATTTTCGTTTTTTCGTGTATAACGCATTTTACATCTATTTTTATCATAACAGGGCTCTGAATGAGTTAGAAATTAATAGTAAATTAAAATAAAATAGAAACAATTTTACTTTATTGAGATGGTTCTTGCAATGTAATATTTAGAGTTTCTACCTGTTTTGAATGCATACAAATTCTCACAAGATTTTGGGGTATGCATATTGCACTATGAATTCAGTATTAAAATGCATTATTTTTTTGATCTGTTAAACAAAGATCTAAATATTTTTATTCAAGTTTTGAGTTAACAGGAATTTCGGCCGAAACTTTATAACAGCTGTAAAAGAATATTGTTTTACTTAATTTATTCTCAGATTTTTATTAATTTATTAACGAGCATTTCGGAATATTTTTTATAAATGTATTTCTCTTTTATAGACAAGCCGATACATAGGTTCACGTGAGAGAAAAGTGCCATTAGAGTTGAAAAATGGGAAAATTTTAGCTCTTCTTGGTGTAAGATAAGTTCTAATTACCAATCGTTTTTATTTTATAAAACAATTACTTATTTATTATTTTATGTTAAGAATTAAAAAGAAGTTACATTAAGTTATATTTTTCTTTTAGACATCCAGATTTCTTACTAAATACAGAAAATAAATACTTGCGTCATAATATTGATGTTAATAAATTGCAATACTATATGTCCTGAAGCATTTTTTTTTTACGTAGGACAAGCTTAGTCATAAAGAGCTGCTGCCCAACAAACATGATTACCCCTCAATGGAAACAAAATCTGTAAGTAATATAAATTGAAATTTAAACACAGATTATTATCAGCAAGATAACTGCACTTCAATAATTTAAATTCAATGCACAATAAAACATTGTTTATAAGTTTTTCAAGGTCTTTTATCATCGTTTATACGTCTTCCAGAAAGACGGGTAAATACTAAGAAATACATATAATCGAAATTTTACTCTAAGATAATCCCGCATATTTTAGCAGCAGAAATTTAGTATTACTACGGTATTACGGCTTTTATATAAACTTAGTTTTATAGCTTTTAGTTTGCTTAAAGTACCGTCTTTATTTAAAAGGATATTTTATGATGTTTCAAAAAAGTTAAAATACTTCATTTTAAAATTCAGTTTTATCATCCTGTTTTTAATTTCATTGAAATGCTTTTATTCTGAAAGTCTTAAGAATTCATACTGATGAACAAATAATGTAGTAATGAGAACAACCACACCTTTTCAGTTGTTCTGTCTTTAATAAATAACACTTCATTTTCAAGATTTTAGCAGAGTAACATGTTTAAAGTATTTTTAAGGAAAACAACTTGAAGTGCCATCTGATAAACTGTTTGATTCCCATCTTAAGCAGAGTATGATGAATGGAATTACGTTCTTAAGCTTTCTCGCTCATGTCATATGAAAATACTAAATTTCTGTATGTGTCAGTGTAATGCATTGTAACTTGAACAGAAGGCGGTATTAATTTATTTCCTTCAGCATCCCCACTACTTAAATAGTCTTCTAGTCTTCCGTAAATCTGTTTTTAGTCAGTAATAGTTTTGTCGTCATTAGCGTGCCATCACACTTTATTTCTCATATTCACAAAGTGCTTTTGAGGCCTTTATTATCCCAGTCCTTCCCTCAAGATATATAATTACAAATGTTTTAAATGATGCAAATATTTAGGTTTTGGCATTTTAAAAGTTAAAAAAGATCTACTTTGTAAAAATAACGAAATAACTTTTCATACGTCCTCCAAACCCTATAGTTATGTTCAGAACTTTTACGCTCATTATGAAAACAAAATTAAAAGTGTTTGACTCCCATACAGCAAAAAGTGACTGAGATATTGAATTATTTGTTTTATATTCAGGAAGTAGTAAAGAAACTGAACAAAGAAATGCTTACAAGCACTGCTAAGTAGATTGCTGTGAAAAGACTATGTCAATATAAATCCTTTTTTAAAACAGAGATCTTATTCATAGAATCTTGTAGAATTCAGGTTGTAGAAAGAACTGGCTTGCTTCAGTGTCAGTACTTCTCAAATTCCTAACATTACTTGCATAATTTAAAAATGAAAAGTACTTCTAAGTTAAAAAAATTGTACTATTTTCATATTATGGATCAAAATAATAAAACTTCATGTGAATGTCATTAAAGTATTTTTTATCGTTTAAAATCTTTCAAATAACTTGTGGGAAAATGTTTTTTGCATAATAATTGAAGCAGAATCATAAATTAATGTATATTTCACATTAGTAAATCACAGAAGAGTATCATTTTTCAATGACCTTAAAGAGGAAAAAGGTAAACCTTGATTTATTCTAATTTTCTTTTAAACCGATGCTACAAAGCAAGCCTAAAATGACGTCGAAAATCCAAAATTTTGAAATTAAATATCCAAGTAAATTTGTATTATACGGGAATGAAACTTTTAGTTTTTAATTTTTTTAAATAGGAATAAAATATTACAAACTATAAAAACTGGGTGATGGACGACATAAAAAATTAAATTTCGAAATGTTTGCAAAATTGATATTTTTAATTTAAAAATGCAAAAACATAAATACTTTCATCATTTAAAATATTTTTATCTTTGGAAGTAGATATCTACAACCAAAGTTTACGAAACTAAAGGCGTTATAAGCACTTCTGTGGACAGATGTAAAACTTTCGAAAATAATATCTGTTTCCAGGAGATTTCAATCTTGTTCATATATTCCATTTTCATAATCATTTTCACTCTAAGCCGCTTTGCTGTCATCTAAGTCTGAATAAAATCATTCAAAATTCTTTATAATCTTAAATGATTTCTAGCTAAGGAGATCATAATCTTAAGTGTATTCATCTTTCTCTAGGTATTTCTTGAAACAATTTTACGTGTGTTGAATTATTCTCTTCTTGTAAACTTTATTAAGGCTTTTTGTAAAAACTATCGCGGTATTTCCTGCATTTTTATTCGTTTTACACCATTAAGGAAATATTTAACACATTTTAAGCATTCTGATTTCTGCGACATTTCTATAATTAGAGCTATTGTCAGTTTCGCACAATCATCATTTAGACTGGAAAAAATGGTAAGCCAATCTTTTACGTTTTTTGACTCCATTATATTCATCGCGGTTAAAAGGCTAGGCTTTATTGTAGGAGATCAAAGAAGAGAACTGTTTTATCAAAATTAAAAGGGTATTTCAGATAAATTTCAAATCGATCCTCAATACATTCAAATGTTTCGAGATATTTCTTGACTCTGCACTTATGGCATGCTATGCGGTAAATTTATGCTGATATCTAATGAAGAAAGAATAATTTCAACATAAGATTTCTTTATGTAAGATTTGAGATAAAGCAATTAGTTTATTTTTGAAGTTACTTAGTTATTTGCGGATTTTATACAAAGTGATTTAAAATGTTGATCTTAAGTATGGTACTTCCAGTTATGATATTTCTTAAAATAAAACAGAGAATGCAACTGATAAAAGAATTTTGTATAAATTGCAAAATCTAAATTTTTATACGTTTCCTCGGTATCTATAATTATATTGAGAATAATTTAATACTCATTAAAAAAATAAAATATAAGACGTATGATTCAGGTAAGGGAAAATTCATTGAGATATCTGACTTTGAAACTGGAATTCATAATCAAAGGCCGCACATAAATTGAAGAACAAAATGTTAATATCTGTATGTAGCTAAAAATAAAATATCAGTTTAAAAAAAATTTCGGAAATTGATATATTAATTACCAGCATTTCTATGTACACTGTTATGAAAAGATTGATCAACATGAATATTTCAAAAAGGGAGATGTTCACAGAATCGCATAGAACTCGAGTTCTAGAAAACACTGGTAGGCTTCACTACTGGCACATAGCCATTTCATCAACTTATTTGCTTTAATTAAAAACAAAAAGTAAACTCTTGTTTAATAAAATATCTTTATTATTACTAGATTATGATTCTAAAGTAACAAAGCTTAATGACAATATTAATAATGTATTTTAAGAGTTTGAACAGCTATAAATTGAATGAAAATTCTTTTGGCATGTCATTTATAGCAAAATTATAAAGTAAAAAATGTTACACATTAATTAATTACGAAGAAAACCACTGAATGGCATTTAGGAGAAAAACAATGAAAGTCGAATTATTCTAATATATTTATTAACCGGTACATTTGTAGCAAGCTGAAAATTACATCAAATAATCAAATTGTTGAAGTATAATATCTCGCTCAATTTTCGCCGTACGAGAGTGTGTTTTGCTTTCTAATCTGAGTTAAAATGACAAGATGAATAACGATTATTCAAGGCGTTAAGACAACAAGAATCAGCATCATGTGTAGAAAATTTCAGGACTAGTTTCGAAGGCTAAAATATAGAACATTCTTCTTGAAAAGCAGAAGTGAAAATGATGAAACAGAAGACTGTGCTCAGGTGATAACAATGACAGGAACGAAGATAAGCTACTGGAGTCATCTATTGATGAACATTTAAAACAATTATGAAATAACTTCATTAAAAACTGACGGTCTGGAATTGGGATCGTTACCTAAAACTGAAATACTTTTAAGAATGTGAAACGCCTCTAGAAAATCTAATTTGTCTACGGAAGATAATTTTTGAATTATTTTAGCTGACGAAAAATGGAAAATAGGATTTTCTGACCAACAGTGTTGAGCAACATAAGATTTATATATTTCTCTTTTGATAACGTACGAAACTAGTATTTGAGATTTACGAATATTAAGCTGACTGTTGTTGCCTTAACACCTCCAGTAATATTTTTACCTTTTATTTTTTAAGATGAGTTTACAGTTTTGATAAATACAAGTTTAGGAACCGGGAATTATATAAGACGATAAATTTCGTAATCGTTTCAAGCTTAAAAATTTCAAAATATGACTATTTGTAGTGTTAAAGATGATACCACATTTTGAATTTATGTCTGTAACTAACGATCGCCGAATTAAAGGTCGGATAAGTACTTTTGTATAAACGATTTGTTTTTGTATAAACTTTTGTACGTGTTTTTGTTTAAAGATTTTTGTAAAAATTAGAATTCATACACTGCATTATTTTAGTGAATGAGATTTTTTATAAATTGATGAAAAATGTTTCACGAATTGTCATTATTATTATTACTTTTTTTTTCAGGGCAATACATCAACGAAGTCCAAACCACTATCTTGAATCATTTTTCGTTTTCAGCTTAATGAACATCTGTGATTACCTAAGTAAAAGTGAGATTATGCAATGAAAAATAACTGCGCTCATTTTTTAAAAAACATCACATTCACTTCATTCAAATATTAGAACATTGTTTACAAAACTAATGAGCTTCAAAAATTTTTCTCATCTTGTCTTGAAAACTGATCTATTTATGAAGATGGTTTATGAAAATTAATGAACATTTTTGCTCTTATGAATTTGATATAATTTAATTCTCTGTAACCATATGGAAATTCCTTAAAAATCAGTCTTTTGGATGATAGGATAGAATACAGACCTTTTTCAGCGGAGATATGTTGAGAGAATATTCATTCTAATACCAAAAGTTAATGTAAAACCTATTTACTTTTAAATATGCAATTTCAAGTATACACTTTCAAAAGTACTCTATTCATTATTTTTAATAAAAGATTAATAAGTTACAAAAATTAAAGGGGATATTTAATGTAATTCTTAAGCAAACCGATCTGATTATTTGCGGAGACTTTCCAGATTAATGCAATATGAGTACATTGCCAATTTTAATTTCATATTTATCTTCAGTTCTGCAATGAGGTTTTTGATAGGAATTTTGTAATAATAATTATAACAAATAATAATAATAATTATAAGTTATTAAATAATAATTATAACAATTCACTGAATGAGATTCTAATCATATTTCGTGTAATACTATTTGTATAGTATATGTATTTACTGACATAACTCAACATTTGTTGAATGCAGAAATTTTCGTCGTTGTTAATATGATCAGAATATTGCGAGTCTTCTGCTTGAATATCAGTAATATTAAAAACTGCCTATCTCATCGTTCATATTTGTGTAGTGTCATGTAACTGAAAACACTTTTCAGCAGTAAACTTGAGTGCATATTATTTTATGCATTCGAAAGCATCAAGTAAACTTAGAATTCAAACTCAGAATTCATGAATTTTGGGCTAAAATCTGAGTAACGGTTCATTGTTCATTAATGACAGCATGAATGACTATGAATTGCTTTGTTAAAATATGAATTCAAAAATTTAATAAATTTTTTTATGAATAATAGTGTTTTTTAAAATTTTTATTGCTGTGAATAACGAAAATTTTAGAAGAATTAAGAATGGAAGAATGTTCTTACATTAAAATATTTGCTGATCAGTTTCATTGTCGTATCACAAATGCAAACGCATAGAAGCAGAATTCTTTTACGGTAATTTCAATAAATTATTTTGCTGCAAAACCCGAACTGAATGCGAGTTGAGAATTATCTTTACAGAAATATTCAGGCAGCTGAAGTCTCACACAGGTGACTGATTGTTGCATCACATTAAGTGATCTTTAAGTGTACTTATATTGTGAAAATTTTAGTATTCATTTCAAACAAAAATTTCATATATATCAGATTTCTAGAGTGTCAAATCTGTTGTTAATTATAATGTAATATATGGGAAAAATGTAATGTATATTTGTTTTGAATAATTATAACATAAAAACTATGTATATCATTAAATATTGTTCTGAGCAGGAAGCCCTAATTTCTGTAGATAATAAATAACCATTCTTCAAAAAACATGAAGAAAATTTTACTTAATTTGTGTTATATTTAAGATTTTTTACCATTTATTTTGAATGATTTCAGAAAAAAATGAGACTATCCTTCATGCTAAAAAAATACGACATACTAAGCGAAGTTTCTCAAACATGGTCTTATCTTTCAGCTGGAACAGAAATACAAATCCTGAAATAATTCTGTTTTTATACTATTGCGTCATATTTAGCATATATGGAACAGAAATATAAATTCTCCAAAATTGTTTTATTCCTAAAATGTTGAAATTGCTGCAAGAATTGATGAAATGCATCTGAAAAAGTGAATCAATACTTAGGTTTATTACACACACACACGCATGAATAAATACAGATTAAAAAACACATTTTGCCACAATGCTAATAGTTTTTTGGTTTTTGCATATGATTTATTCCGATGATGAGGAATTTTAAACATGTTTTGTTACTTCATGTTTTATTAGATGCAAACACATTTGCATCTAATAAAATGCTCTTTTGTGGGCAATAATGTAACTTTAATTTACTGTATACCTCAAATGAAAACGTTTAATTTTGAGTTGTTGCAAATTGAAATGTCCGATTTTGAGGATGAATGAAAAAGGAAAGAATGAAAAGAATAGCAAAGCTTGTTGAACCAAAATGATCTTCTGTAGTATCTTTTGCATTGTTGCCAAAGTATGGCAAGGTTATATGGTTATATATACTACATTTGTAAAAACATATATCTCTGAAAGGGATGATATTTTCCACTGCACGATAAATTAATGCATAGGAGTCTTCAAATGGACAAAACATAGCTCAAGCAGCGGAAAAAAATGGTAACATTAATGGGGAAAATTTTAGGAAAGTATAGAGGATGAGGCACAATTTCGTATCCCAAATTGCTGATTTCCTCTACTGTAGCCATTGCTGTACGTAGTAGGGCGTTATTCTAAAGCGGTAGGACTTCATTTCTATTTATTACAAGTAGAAAGTTGCTGAAGAAACAATGTTTTATGCTTTTGCCGCATATCTATACAGTGGGAAATAACAATTATCGTTTCACCTCGTGAAAGAAATGTGTAGCAAATAACACCAGGAGAAAAACATCATACAGTAAACAAGATCTTTTTTATATGTAAAGGGTCCTTTGGGACTCTCCCTGTATTATATTTCCCTCCAGTCTTTGTGACTGAATATCTATGATTGTCGTAGTTTATCCATTATTAATGGACATAATTCGTAGCAGAAATCTTTGTTCGTTACTTCTTAATAGCGGATAGCACATTTGTAAACGAATTAATTTGCTTTCATTAGCGAGTTTATGAAGTGTAATGTTTTCAGCTATTTTCTTGCTGCCACTCCTTAGATCTGGGCTAGGGAACGTGGCCCCTTGTCGCAATGCGCCCGAGCTAAATTGTTCTGCTTTGTATGCAATTTTTGGTTTATGTTTATAAAATGCATATTAAAATTATATGTTTATACGTCTATGCGTTGAAAAGCCATTTATTGATTCGCCATTGCTCAAAATGTTTCAATGTCGAGCGGAACCGACTAAAGCCGGACCGACCCGATAGCCCGGCGCGAGCGACGTGGCGTGTTAATTTTAACCTCTCTGATGCAATCGCTAGTACTTGGGGGCAGCAAGATTTAGCGGATGCAAGACAAGACATCTGTCCACTTCAAGACAAGACAAATTGATGTCAAACAAGACAAGATGTCAAGACTTGAAGTCAAGAGGTGACGTCAAGAGAAGAAACAAGACAAGATGTCTTGTTTGACTGTCGGTCTGTATGGGAAAATTTGATTATTTCGTAAACATACTCCGGATTTCCGACCTTTTAGACAGGAACTGAAATCAGTAATTACAAGATATGAAGTTTGTATGTACTCTCGTTGCTTTTACATTAGATTTGTTTACGTACACTCTAATCATCCAGAATGTTATCTTATAGAGATTTGCTTACAAATTGATGATTGTAACAACCCATGATGAACAAAGTTAAGCGAGCACGCACTTATAATTTTAACGAAGAATAGGAGCATCAGTTTCGCTTTGTAAATCATAAAAATATATATACTTATTATCATGCAACAAAAGTGTAACAATTCAAAAGAAAATTAACCTTGAGAGACATTTTAAACAGCGCATCTGAAGTTTGACTCAAGATTGTTCTGAACTTTATGAACTTCGAAGAAATAAAATTTTATCATTAAAATCATAGATTTTGAAGCAACAATCTATTTTTATCAAACCGTTGGAAACATCATAGGCAGTAACAATCGCATCGATTAAATCTTTTCACATATTTGTGAAGGAAAAAGCCATATACGGATGTAGCAATAATAAAAAGAGGCAATGTTGAAATGTGCAGACGAAAGTTTTGCAGATTTTAAAATGAAAAAGAAATTGTTTCGCCATAAAATGCTATGCAATTGTCAACTAGAACTGAAACTATCGCAAGCTACTTAGAACACCCAACTGATAAAAAATATGAACAAATGCATTTCTTCCTTAAAACTGAAAGAATAGAAAGATATAAGAGATACAGCACAATTGGTAATAAGTGTCAAGATAACCTTTGATGATTTTATCATAAAAATAAATGTTTCTAAAATTCGTACCACTTAAAGAGCACACACGAGGGGAAGATTTATTATGCTCAATAAAACGTTTTAATTGACGCTACAATACCGATTGAGAAATTATCTTTAATAACAACTGACGGTGAGTAAGCCATGACAGGGAAGAATATTGGAGTCGTTGCTTTATGTCAACAAGATCATTTTATTTCCAAAGTTTATTGTATATCATTGCATTACACACCAGAAATCATTGTGTGCAAAAATTACGGAATTCCAAGATGTAATCGCTGTTGTCAGAAAAATAATTAATTCAATAAATAATGAAGACAAGTGGAACGCAACATAGATTATTTAAACTGCTTTTTGAAAATGATGAAGCTACACAATTTACCGATTTTCTTTTTGTACATTGAGGTTTGGCGGTTGAGCAAGGGAAACATGCTTAAGCGGTTTTATTTATTTGTTACCACGAATAAAAGAGTTTCTAACAACCCAAGGAAAAACTGCGAACAGCTGGGAAACAAAGACTTGTTAACTAATTTGGTTATTTTGACAGATTTAACATTGAAACTTAATGAGCTACACTGAAATTACACGGCAGGAATAATAACGTTACTGATATGATCAACGCTATCAATAGCTTCATGTCAGTGTTAGAGTTGCACAGATCTCATCTCTTAAGAAACTCTTTAACGCATTTCCCCAATATCCCCTCCCCCCCAAAAAAATTGCCAGAAAATCTGAAAGAGCATAATATTAATACAAACTCAGAGTATTCTGAACTATTTTAAAGTCAGTATCAGAATTCTACAGGTTTCTTAAGAAACTTTCTAACGCATTTCCCTGATACCCCTCCGCCCAAAGAAATTGGCAGAAAGTCTATATTAATGCAAACTCATACCTTTCAATTGCTTCTGCATTGAAAACTGAATTTCATTTTAAATTTGTTGATGTTCGCAAATTTAGAGAATATTTTAAAATTCTTTGTAAATCCCTTTAACATTACTGATGGAGAAAACACGGCAACAGCAATTTTCGATTGTTTTCATGTTAACAATATGGAAAACGTATAATTAGAAACAATAAGCCTACAAAATGATGTTATTTTAAAATCTTATGAAACTAATACGTTACTGGGAGATGGTAAACAGAAATGGATATCCTATTTTAAAGCCATTTTCGGTAAAGACCATTGTTCAAGTAACTATAACTGTGATACATTGTTTTCGAATATGACATATTTGATCTCAAAGTATCGTTCAAAACTTACTGATTCGCACTTAGGTAATTTTTTAAGAACTTGCAATGCATATTATATTGTCGATTATAATAAGTTAGCAGACGAATTACATACACAAATTTCAAATTGACATATAAAAATATTTAATGCCTATAAATTATAAATATTTGTTATTTCGTTCAATAAAGTTACATCTTTTAAACAAAACTAGTTTGCAATATGACGTTTGATATTTGATTATGAAACTTGAATGGCTGTCTCTGTCTAAGAATTTAAAATTTTATTTTGTACCCTCGAAGGCCAAAAGTTTGCCGACCCCTGCATTAAACCTGGGCATGATGATCTCTTGAATATATTGTTGCGTGCGTACAGGTTCGTAATAGATTAAATTCACAAGTCCGATAAAAGGTTAATAAAATCTATTCTTATGAAAAGAAATATAAAAGAACACTGGAATTTTTTTAGAGATATTCGGAAAAGTGTTCTCAGTATCACGCAATATAATCAGTAGTTATATTTCGAACTATTGAAAAACTTTAAAATACAGTGCAATGTAAAGTGTATCGAATAAAAAGAAAGCTAATCCGATCTCACGCTGAACTCGCAACAATAACAACAGCAGCTAACTAAACAACTGAACTAATGTGATGTTTACGGTTAACTTCCCATCAATTGCGGTTTATCACCAG